CAAAAAGGCGTTGGAAGCTATTCAAAATGGTGTAAAAAATGTAACACGACCAATATAGATAATAAAAAATGTACTTGTCCTAAATGTAATGAAAAATTAGATACATTAGCCGTCTTACAAGCCGAATCTACTAAAGAATTAACTCAGGTTGATAAAAATATACCTTCTCAATCAGGAACTCCTATAATAAAGATCTATGAATATGCTCAAGAAAAAGCTTCTTATTTAAAGCATATTAGTATCACGCAACAATCTAAACCCGATCAAGATGTTGTTATTCTGGAAATGCATGTGCCAGATCCGTTGGAAGTTAATCCTAATTCGTTAAATAATATCAAAAAAGTTTTAGAACATATACAAAATATTACTGAAATCGATGAAGGGGCGAGAAAATAGTTACCTGTTATTTGTGATAGTGTTCTCTATAATCTAGCACAAAAGATTAAAAACGATTTCCCATGGCTTATACTGATTCCCAGAGCCTTGCATGAAGAAATAAATATGCTTAAAGCATTTGTAGAGCTAAATTGGTATTATTCCTTCAAGTGAATATCTCAGACATCTTTTTCGTTTGATACTTAATTAATTTTTTCTAACATATTTTTAAGGTCGATTGATATCAAGCAATTTGCTACTCTCCAAGGATATAGAACTAAAAACCAACTTGAATTTTTTAAAAAATGCGCTAACCATCACAAATCGTGGGACTCTATTTGCAATATTTACCGACATGCAATGTCATGTGAATTATTATGGCTATACGTAGTTGCAACTGATGATCCTTCTGTTGACGGCTATCTAAATTGGGCGAAAGTACAAAATGACCACATATATAAACTAATATTTGAACAGGTAAATTTTTAAAAGGATTCATAAGTATCTAAAAACATAACTAACAATTGCTAGTATTATAGATATTTACATACCTTCAAGCAATCATTAACTTCCATATGGGAGTTAGAAACAACCAGCCATTATTGGTAAATGCTGCTCGACATATGTTTGCACCAATATGGTCTGGTCATAGACACCCTATCTACCGTTTAATTGAGATATCTTATGAGGTGCAATTGATGTGGCTAAATCTCGAGATTAGACAATGTATAGAGTTATATTTAGCCATTTCACGATCGGGTTATTCTAACCAGCATCAAGGCCTTGATACTATCCTTGAAGAAGTAAATAAGTCTTTAAAAGCTCTAATTCCACCCGTACCTTCACAAAAACATTGGAGAATAGCAGCACGAAATTGTGTAAAGTTTATAAAGATCTGCAAAATATACCTAATACAGTAATATTTATCTATTTTTTTTTTTTTTAAAAAAAATTGTATTTATTTATACTTATTTTTTGAATAATAATTAGTTGCGTCATATATTATTTAATATGATCGGACATATCAATAATGAATCACCAGGAGGTCGGTCATGCCCTGATTATATCTTAAAGTCGCAAAAATTTTGAGTTCAATTGCGAAAAATGGAATTTTTGAATCCACAAGATAATAATTGTGTATTTAAAAGTCTTGGAGAGGAGTATTCACTTAGTGAACAACTAAAAAATTTTAGTAGCTTGGCATGTGAAAGGCGAATAACGTTTATTAATGAGGCTTTTAAAAATAACAAGCAAAGTCTTTTACCTCGGCCAATACCTATTACTGCACAAGAAGAAGAAGCAGCCATGAGCAAGGAAAATATAAAGAAAGACAATCTTTTAGTACTTATTAATTCATTATTGAATTCTATCAATATCTCTGATCGTCCAAAATATCGTAGGTTAAAGCAAAAGACTCGTAGCCAATTGCTAGAGATATTGCAAAGTATTAAAAATCTGCACAATAACCAGGATGAACCTGAAAATAAGATAGAACCAGAGAATAAATAATTATAATGATAATTATTAATCTATGTTAACAATGTAGCATTGTACCAATAACTGCTTCGAATTTATCAAAAATTAATTTAAAAATATGTGTTACTTACTTGAATACTTATAATCTCATTATCAATAATTACACTTTCAAAAGATCGAATAAACTACTATTCTCATCAAAAATAAACCTAAAATATACTTATTCGGTTACTATTGTAAGAGACTACGATTTTTTTATTAAAGTTGTAAGAAAAAGATCAAACCAAGATTAGTGTTTTTCAGAGCTTAAAGATAACGAACTCGACGATCTAGGAATTCCAAGTTCTTGCATCACTAGAATTTTAATAAACTCTAATAAAGAACGTTATACTTCTCTCTTTATAGTACTTGTTCTTATTGTAGGAGTATAAAAAAGCTAGTGCACGTTGCTATTAACTCGAGTAATTCCTCTGCGCATTCTAGAATCCTATATTAGAGAATTGAATCATAGTATTTTTATTCTAATGCTCTGAGCTATATGCGTACAAACAGAAAATTTATTTCTAATAGCACAGGATTGTTGCTAATACGGATCGGGTAAAAATTAAACTTTTTGCAGATATATACGAACGTATATATATATACATACCATATAGCCAATCAAATTTAGTTTTATTCTAATTTTTTTAGAAAATTTCTGTGTAGCTGTATAGTGCAAATCATTGCGATATTCAGCAATGCCAAATTTGGAAATATCTCTGACTGTAATAGCTTTTCTTCTTATTGTTAATTCATTTCTGATAAAAAAAAAAAGAAGCATGTAAACTTTCGTAAGGAATTAGTAAAGTCAATTTTTGACTGTTATGCTAAAACAATGATTGGTAAACAAAGTAAAAGAAGACACAAACAAGATTCAAACAGAACTGAGCATAGTCTTGTGAGTCTTAAAAGTGACCTTACAACTTTTCAGCTTAAAGGACCACATATTCAATGTCATTGTATATCTTGTCATAATTATACAACTACTTGTTGCAGTTGTATGATTTCAAGAGGAATGTGTATGAATTGTTGGGCCCAATATATCTGTAATGTCTATAGTTCAAGGTTAATTTTTTTTT